TTGTGTACAGGACAAACTTGGGCAATTTTCCACATTGTTGGGTAGATGCCAGTGTTGTAACTGTACTGGAACAGCTTGGCTCAGGGAGCGGCAAGTTCTGGAGCACAAGTCTTCAGTACTGTTGCGGGAATGTTGTCAGGGCCTATAGCCTTGTACCCCAACTGCCTTGAAATAAGGACCAAGGTACCATTCATTAGCCTTCCTGATTCCCTGCTGTGTGCGCTAGCTTTGTTGGGGGGGCGGGGGCACGTGTGCTTGAAACACACAAAGCTCCCTGTGTGTTGTAGCTAACCTCGGGAGGCATAATGCAAGCCTGTCCTCCTTTTACGGTCCGTTTCCCACCCTGGCTGCAGCGTGGTTTGGCTTTAGGGACCCATGCTGTGATGGCGTGCGCAGTGAGTGAGGAATAACTTTCCTGAACTGGTTGCTGTGTCGGCCATGGTGCACCAGCAGCACCCAGTGGACGCAGGCGGCATGGTAAGGGAGAACCGGCCAAAGCCCAGGAGGACACTGTGTTGTTGCAGGCTGCAACAATACAAGTCAACGTCTGATGGAAGTTCAGGCTTTCTGCCCCAAAGGTACCAGGGATAGAGTGCCTGCCACTGCTGGTACGTGGGATGCAACTCGGCCGGGTCGGTGGGGGTGGTTTGAAACGAGCTTGACGTTATTCCTCTCTCTCGGAAGCCTCCACATGCCCACTTTTCCTGACAGTGGTCCGCAGTGGGTGCTGGGTTAATGCTACGGAGAGTTGTGTTCAAAACCGGCCACCGCTAGTTTAAATGCAATTCATAAATCAGCAGCATAAAGCTGATCGTCGTGATGGTTGTTTTAAAAAAGAAATCCACCTGCTTCCCGAGAGAGAAAAGTCCCAGCCTATGCAATCTCTCCTTTTATAACTAGAACCTTCCAGTCCAGGTACCATCCTGGGAAATCTTTCCTGCGCTCTCTCTAGTTTAACACAATACGTTCTATGGTAGGGCAGCCATCACTGCACTGAGTACTCCAAATGTGGCCTCACCAACGTCTCGTACAGCCGCAACAAGATGCCCCAACTCCTGTACTCAACGCTCTGACCGCTGAAAGCTAGCACACCAAACACCGCCTCCTTCACCCTCTCTACCTGTGACTTCGCTTTCAGGGAGCTATGAACCTGTATCCCGAGATATCTTTGTTCGGCAACGCTGCCCAGGGCCCAGCAACGATTTGTCTCTCTCCAACAATAAACAGTCTCCACTCAATCACTTCGTTGAGAGCTTTCGTGATTGTGAGCTCTCCTATTAGCCCGGCCTGAGGCATTCTCCTGCTCTAAGGAGAATAGTTCTGGCTTTGCCAGTTTCTCCACCCGACTGAGCTTCCCTGTCGCTGTGACCATTACCGTTCAATCTTTTTCCGCACGAGGATGTGACTCGCTAAATGTGCCAGGTCTGGGCATTGGGCGTGAGAAAGCGCGGAGGAGCAGGGTCTTTGTAAAGTTGTAATGTTTTCACAGAATCCAGTGCTACCTCCGACAATCACCGATCAGATCAGACTGTGGGAGATGGAGAGAGACCGATTGAGGTTCACTGAAGGTGGGTCATTTCCCACCCCTCACTTCCTTTCAGTCACTGGGCACCGGGGTGAGGAGAGCACAAGGGATTCGAGATGCCCGGCAGAGCTGATAAGAGTTTATCTGAGGGTATCCGAGGAATACAGCGCAATACAACACAGAGGTTATTGGCTGTGGGATATACAGACAGAGGAATACGCTGTAGGGATCGGGGCTATGTGTGAGCAGGAAAACGGTATGGGGCAGGGGCGATGGGGTGGGGTACATAGAGACGGGCATCAGCGGGTACAGGCGGTGGGGTGTGGGATATAGCCTGGGTCGGGGGGGGGGCGCGGGGTTTACACTGTGTAGGTCGGGGTATGGAGAAGGACATCGTAGGAGTTTTGGAGGGGGACGGGAGGGAGGTTGGGACAGATACACAGCCACCCGGAGACTCAGGAAATGTCAGCAGATTTCTGAAAGCAACACCGTCCTGGGGCCGAGGGTGGGGGGGTCAGGCTTTGTCTCTGACTGCGACCGGCACCAAATAATTGGCAAAGTCAGTACATTTATACAATTCCCTCCTCCCTCCTTCTGCTTAAAAACCCTGGCTCCACTTCTCTCCCCCTTTCTCCCTTCCTCCCTCCCTCTTTTCCACACCCCCTTTTCTCCTTCTCCCTCTCCCTCTCCCTCTCTACCCCTCCGTCCGGTCTCTCCAGGTGTCCTATACAACCAGTTCCTTTCCCAAGTGGATTTTGAGCTCCTCCGGAACTACGCCCGGGATCTGGGTGTCCTGGTTTGGGAAAATCCCACCAAGAGGCTGATGGTGGTTACCCCCGGGGGACACCCTGACGTCAGGCGGTTCTGGAAGCGGCAGAAACACAGCTGAGCGGCCGGGAGGTTCCTCGCCGAGGATCGCCACTCCCAGAAATAATCCGGGATCGGGGAGAGAGAGAGAGCGCACCGTAGAGAGACTGAACCGCATCAGCACCACATTCCTGTTTTCTACGTGTCGTTGGCTGTTTGTTTCTCAATAATAATTAAAAAAAAAAGAGACAGAGGAGAAGCAAACAAGGAAATTTGTTATTAAATCACACTCGGTATGGCACAAACTTCCCCCGCAAGCCCCAGGACTGCACCTCTGCTGTATAAAAGCGGGAAATGCTGGAATTACTCAGGCCTAGTGCTGTCATCTGCAGGACTGTTAACGAGGGGATGTTCTGGGGACTCGAGTTTAAATCCTGCCACAGCAGCTGGTGGAATCAGCATTCAATAAAGAATCTGGAATTAAGGCACTAATGGCAACCGTGGATACATTGTCGGGAAAAAAAAACCCATCTGGTTCACTAATGTTCTTTAGGGAAGGAAACTGCCGTCCTTCCCTGGTCTGGCCAACATGTGACTCCAGACCCACAGCAATGTGGTCAGCTCGTACTCTCTGATCAATAAATGCTGGTCTAGCTAGTGACGTCCATGCGCCATCAGTACTTTTTTTAAAATTAATCCATCTGGTTAGAGACAGGGAGGGGACTGAAGTTAACGTTTCAGGTCTGTCACCCCTCAGGAGTACCGGGAAGTACTAGGGATGTAAATAGGTCTTGAGGCAGGGCTGGGAGCAGGGACAGGGACCAGCAGAGAAGGTAGGGTGAGCGACAGGACAGATTTGAGATTTCAAGACTTGTATCATCCACAAATTGTGCCTCGAATCCTTGTCATTCATCTGTAAAAAGCAGGGGTGCTGACACACTTACCCTGGGAAACTGTGCTCCAAACCTCCCCCCAGCTAAAAGCAAGCATCCATTAACCACACAAGATTGCTACAGTGCAGGAGCAGGCTATTCGGCCCATTGTGTTTACACCAGCTCTTCCAACAAGCGTTGTTACCTCCTGCTTTCTTTCCACATTATATCAACCTGAACAATCAACCCCGTACCTTGTTGAATGTCTCCACCACACTTCCAGCCAGTGCATTCTACACCCTAACCACTCGCTGTGTGAAAAGATTTCCTTTTCTTCACACCTCATGTTTGCTTCTTTTGCAAATCGGTTTTCATCTGTGCCCTCTCATTCTTGATCCTTTTGGGAACGGTTTCTCTATACCAAACCCGTTCACGGTTTTGAAAATCTCCGTCAGATCTTCCTTCAGCTGCCTTGTCTCCGAGGAAAACGGTCTCGACGCACACCTGAAGTTTCCCATCCCTCAAATCGTTCTTGCAAATCCCTTCCAAACTCCTCTGATGCATTCACATCCTTCCTATCATGTAGCACTGAACTATAGCAAGCGTTCAACACCATCTCTCTCTGATCTTGTACTCCAAGCCCCTATTAATAAAGCCAAGGGTATTGTATGTTTTACTGGTTGCTGTCTGAACCTCTACTGCCACCCTAACTGATCTGTACGTTTATACATCCAGGTCCCTCTGCTCTTCCACCAACTTTAGAATTGTACCTCTATTCATAGAATCCCTACAGTGTGGAAACAGGCCCTTAGGGCCCAACAAGTCCACACCGACCCATCCCCCTGTAACCCACCTAATCTACACATCCCTGGACACTACGGGCAATTTTAAGCATAGCCAATCCACCTAACCTGCACATCTTTGGACTGTGGGAGGAAACCGGAGCACCCAGAGGAAACCCACACAGATGCGGGGAGAATGTGCAAACTCCACACAGACAGTCACCCGAGGGTGGAATCGAACCCGGATCCCTTGCGCTGTGAGGTACCAGTGCTAACTGCTGAGCCACCATGCCGCCCTAAGAGAGGTATTTTAAATGGCCTTTTGAAGTTCTTCCCACCAAAACAGTGGTTAGCACCGCTGCCTCTCAGCGCCAGGGACCTGGGTTCGATTCCACCTTCAGGCAACTCTCTGTGTGGAGTTTGCACATTCTACCCCGTGTCTGTGTGGGTTTCCTCCCACAGTCCAAAGATGTGTGGGTTAGGTGAATGGGCCATACTAAATTCTCCCCATAGTGGACAGGGATGTGCAGGCCAAGGTGGGTTAGTTATGGGAAATGTAGGGTTATGGGGGTGGGAAGGCAGGATCTGGTTGGAATGCTCCTCAGAGGGTCAGTTTGGACGCAATGGGCTGAATGGCCTGCTTCTGCAGGGATTCTGTGCTAAAATGCACTACCTCTCACTTCTCTACATTGAACCATATCTGCCACCTGACCCACCATAACCAACTTATTTATGTCCTTCCAGAGTTCCACACTGTCCTCCTCATAGTTTACAAAATTTCAAGTTATTTGAAATTTCCCCCTGCGCACCGAGATCCAGTTCTTTGATATATATCAGGAAAAGCAAGGATCCCAACACAGACCCCTGCCAAAGTCCCAGAAATAATGTCTCCATTGATCATTCCTGTCACTCGGCCAATTTTGTAGCTGTGTAGCTCTTGACCTTTTTATCCATTGCCCTACAACTTTCCTCACAAGTCTGTTATGTGTGAAACGCCGTAGGGAAACAAAACAAAACAAAGAACTGTAGGTGTTGGAGTTCTGAAATAAACAATTGCTGGAGAAACTCAGAAGGTCTAGCAGCATCTGTGGAGAGAAAACAAGAGTTAACATTTCGAGTCCACTGACCCTTCAGAACTGATAGCAGCTGGGAAAAGTTAGTATTTATGCTGATAGTGGGGAGTGAATTAGTGGAGATGGAGTCCAGAGATAAAGAAAGGCAAGCAAAGGGATTGTTGATGGTAAGCCAGGGAAGCATTACTAGCCTCGAATTTATCATGGCGTGTACTCAAGTACAGGAGTACAATGACAAGTGTATGAAGTCGCCATTCTCCATGGCCATCTTGGTTTTAAAACCACAATCTCAAAACAAAAAGCAGAAATAAAAGAAAGCCGAAAGGCAAGAGAAATGCTCAGATCTGAAAGTCTAAGTTTTTTAACTCCATAAAGGTGTTTGGAGCCACCGATGCAGTCTCCGGGGCCTGGAGTCTCCCAGCAATCACTGGGAGGAGCCATGTTGGCCACCACTAGCCCTGAACGCCAGGAGGCCATCAATTGCTGCTACTATTCCGCTGCCGTGCCGACGTTGCCGACTAACCCGCTGCAGAAGGCTTTAGTGAGAAGACAAAGAAGGAAAAGAGCAGAAGTTAAAAGAAAAAGAAACCAAGATAGCTGGGTGGAAGTGGGCAAGCCCTGGGCTCGGGAGCCCCGCACACAAGGCCTGCTGTTCCGCCGCCAGCTTGCTCGAAAGAAGAGGAGCGAATCGAAAAACGAAGAACTACGGAGGCTGGAAATCCGAAACCGAAATTGCTGGAGAAACCCAGCAGGTTCTGAAGAAACGTTGATTCTCTGCAGATGCTGCCAGTTTCTCCAGCAATTTCGGTTTTGCTGTGTGACCAAGAGAAGCCAGATAAATGATGACGCTGACTGCGGATGGGTGAGAATGGGTTGGTCATGCTGAAAGCAACCTGTGACACGACAGGGTTGGGGGGTGGGGCCTGAGCTGTGAGTACTGAACTAATGCAACAGATATTGGTACTAAACAAAACTGGACTGAGGTAAACACCCACCTTCATCCATATGCAATACCCCCCTGTATAAATACCCTGTTTAGTCATTAATCAGCCTCAATCCTCCTTTTACCACTTTTTTTTAACTATTTATTTTGCAGCAAGCTGCTGTGCAAAGGGACCTGGGCATCCTTGTGCATGAATCACAAAAAGTTGGTTTGCAGGTGCAGCGGGAAATGAAGAAGGCAAATGGAATATTGTTCTTCATTGCTAGAGAGATGGAGTTTAAAAACAGGGGGGTTATGCTACAGTTGTATAGGATGCTGGTGAGGCCACACCTGGAGTACCGAGTACAGTTTTGGTCTCCTTACTTGGGGAAAGGATGTTACTGGCACTGGAGTGGGTGCAGAGGAGATTCACTTGGTTGATTCCGGAGTTGAGGGGGTTGGCTGATGAGGAGAGATTAAGTAGACTGGGACTGTACTCGTTGGAATTTGGAAGAATGAAGAGGGTTCTTAGAGAAATGTATAAAATTATGAGGAGAATAGGTAAGATGAAACTAGAATGAGGGGGGCGTAGCCTCAAAATAAGGGGGAAGCAGATTTAGGACTGAGTTGAGGAGGAACTTCTTCACCTAAAGGGTTGTGAATCTGTGCAGTTCCCTGCCCAGTCAAGCAGTTGAGGCTACCTCGTTGAATATTCTTAAGGTAGAGATAGATAGATAGATTTTTGAACAGTAAAGGAATTAATGGTTAGGGTGAGCGGGCGGTAAGTGGAGCTGAGTCCATGAAAATATCAACCATGGTCTTATTGAATGGCGGAGCAGGCTCGAGGGGCCAGATGGCCTACTCCTGCTCCTATTTCTTATGTTCATTAATGGGACTTTGGAATTCTCCTTGTTGTTTGCTGCTATTCTCTTTTCATGCTCCCTCCCGACTTCTCTTAATTCCTTTCTCCCCCACCCCTCTGAACTAGCTAATTTCAGCTTGGTTCTCAATTGTGTTCTCAGCCTCACATCTGTTATATCCACAAAGTATTTTTAAAAATTATAATTTCCACTTCTTTTTGTCATCCAGGAGCTCAGATTTGTTTGAATATACCTTGACTGGTTGGAAACCATCTCTTCTTTACAGTAATTCAGCTATAGTTTATCCTGCCAACTTTTTACTATAATTTACTTGACCAAGATCCATTGATGTTGGTCGGATATTCCCTTCCCCACTTGCTCACTCTCACTCTGAACTGTTCTTATGGATTGTCACCATGCACTTTATTATTCAGTGGTCACCATCCCCAAAATGTTTTTCACCTCATTCCCAAGAACCATATCAAGGACTGTTTCTTTCTCATTCCACTGAAACAACACTGCTGCAGAAGATTCTCCTGAACACACTCTTGACTTTCTCAGCCCACACTATATTCTTGCTAAGCAAGAGGATGAAAGGATACCACACATGCAGGAGGTAGTGTGGAGTAAGCAGAACATCCATCATTTTATTGAATGGTGGAGCAGGCATGAGTGGCTGACTCTTGATTTGTATATTCTTATATTTTTCCTGAACTGCAGTGTGGATTCTCTCATGTAGAAGAGTCAGTGGACTAATAATCCAGGCTAATATTCTTGTGGAGGGGGGCCAAAAGAACTGTGGATGCTGTAAATCGGGAACAAAAACAGAAGTTGATGGAAAAGCCCAGCAGGTCTGGCAGCATCTGTGAAGAAAAGAAAATCAGAGTTAACGTTTCGGGTCTGGTGACCCTTCCTCAGAATATTCTGGGGACACGGGTTTGATTCCCAGTGTGGTGTGGTGAAATTGGAATTAATAATGAATTAATAATCACTAATAATAAAAAGCTATTCTAATGTCGATTGTTGTAAAGACCCATGTGGTTCACTTCACTTCAGTCAGGGACAGAAACCTTCCATAATAATGGAAATAACAACGAAGAACTGGGATACTGGAGGTCCTAAACGTAAACAGTAACTGATGGAGAATCTCAAGGTCTGCCAGTATCTGTGGAGGGAAATCTTCCATCCTTTGGTGTGGCCTCCACGTGACTGTAGACCCACCGCAAAGTGGTTGGCTCTGAGAGCCTTTTGAGAAACTAGGGATGGATAACCAGCCAGCCAGCTTATAAAGAATAAAACAAGTTCTCATATGTGCAGATTTAATTTGATATTTATGATAAACATGCCTTCATCACCAATCTCAACTCCACGTGTTACACAGCTTGCTGCCAGTACCAAACATGGCGCAGCTCCAACCAGCACAGTCACTGTATCCATCCGTGCTGTCTGCCCAGACGGAAGGAACGGGGCAGGAGCTTATCGAAATTGACATTCGTCCAAACCAATCGGCAGCGAAGGCGCCGTACCGATTGCCCAATGGAGGAACGCTTAAATTGACGGGCTGCCCCGTTGGCTCTACTTTGACACCGCCCACTTAGCATGTCACTACAATTGACGCAACGACCAGCCAATCGGCAGCGATTGTTCTCTACCGTTTGTCCAATGGGAATCGGAAATAGGCTTTCAACCGCCGTTTGCTTGGGACCGGTACAAACCAATGGAATGCCGCCGCCGCATCTAACGTCATCCTTATGGACGGACGTACAAACGAATCGGCGTCGGTGGCGACCGTCGATTGTCCAATGTGATTTAAGTGACGTGGAGAGGGCGTGTCCCTCCGCCTCCGCCTGTCTTTCCGCCGCCATTTTGTGTCGCAGCCGGAGAAGGAGAACGCGAGCGGGCGGTTTCATCGGGAACGTCTCCGGGAAATTCAATCCCCACTTTCCCCCCACTCTTTTTCAGACTTTCTCTGTATTTCCGTCTATCTCTCGATCTCCGCGCCCTGTGAGTATTTTGAAAGAAAATGGTGAAGATTTTCGTGGGTAACCTGCCGCGGCCTACCACCGCCGAGGAAATCCGGGCCCTGTTCGAGAAGTACGGCGAAGTCAGCGAGTGTGACCTCATCAAGGTGAGGGAGGGTCAGAGGTCGTTACTGGGGAAACACACCTGGGCGATCGCGCCGCCCCCCCCCCC